TTGTCTGTTCTGCTTCTTCCAATTCCCCAATAAAAATCTTTAACAAAGAAAAAAAAAAGAGCTTTGGGTCCCAGCCAGGCATTTCCAAGAACACATTATCATCTGTTCAAGAATTCGGTTAAAGTAGAGATTCCACTAGTTTGTATGTATGCCTACCCAAGAGAGCTCCCTGACACTCTTACACTGAGACCTGACCCTGCTCACACTGAGTACCCACCATGCTCAATGAGCAGCCACCCTGCTCACACACTGAGCCCCGACCCTGTTCATACTGAGCCCCGATCCTGCTCACACTGAGCCCCATCCCTGTTCACACACTGAGCCCCATCCCTGTTCACACACTGAGCACCCAGCCTGCTCACACACTGAGCCCCGGCCCTGCTCACACACTGAGCCCTGGCCCTGCTCACATGCTGAGCCCCAACCCTGCTCACACAATGTGGACATAAACTGGTCTAATCTCCAGATAAGGGGGTGTTTAATATGGTTCACTGTAATTATGGTCAGCCTCATTTCCACTCATTTTGACACAATATTAGATTCCTCTGATCATGCAACTTCCCGACACTTCTATTTTGTCAGTAGCAAATCAGCACTAGATTATTATTACTGTAAACCAATCAATTCTATCCCCTTTTCTATTCGCTCTGAGTGTGATTGGCTCGGAGATGGGAGTCCTAAGCCAATATGTGTTGCTAAGACCTAAGGAGAGGCCATGGCTTCTGGGAAGAATGCAGTCTCTCTATTCCACTAGTCTGTTACAAATAAGCATGTGACTCCAGCTGCTGCTGAGCCCTCCAGTGGAACCAAGGAACAGGAGTCTCGGGCTGCAACCATACTAAGGGTGGCAGAGGGGAGAGACAGAGAGAACCTGGGCCTGCTGATGTCCAGCCCTGCTTCCTGCTGGTGAGATGATACACTGAATCATGTAAAACACTTTGAGATGGGAATTTTATTATCTGCAGATGGAGCACGGTGATTCCCTGCTTCACCCGGCCATGGAGTGGCCGGCTACCCGAGACTCCCCCTCCGAGGAGAACCAGTCTTGCCTGCACTGGGTAGGACAGCTAAGCATGTTGCCCCTCACAGGCGGGAGCGTTGCCTCTTCCAGGCAGGAATTCCCCATCTTTAGTGAGACAAGCACAGACCCAGATAATTATATGCAATGCCCCTGGAAGAACTGTCGTTAATTGTGATGGCAATAAAGGGCCTTGCCAGCACATTAAGCTAATTTCTTGAAAGCTCTTGGAGGAAGGTCACAGACTGGATCCCAGATTATTAATAACGTCAAGCTTCATTTGAACCATTCGGAAAATGCCTCCAGCACACTGCCACAGGTTGCTGCTTTCCTCTGAGTCAACAGTCTTCCCAAATGCAAATGTGCATTTTTTTATTTTCCCCTATGTGTAGAGCACCACTGGAAGCTGTTAGAATGAATTTTGTGTGAGCAAGAGTGACTCCATTTTGGAACTTAGCACTCAAGGCCCAGGGAACTTCCTGGCTGCCCTGGTAATTGGGCATAACTAGCTATACCCACCTCCCCCGCCCCACGAATGTCTGCTACTGAAGATATGAGGACACTGGTGTTGCTGGCTGGCTGCCCTAATAAGGTGACCTCAGGAAGGCACTCAGAAGTGCATAAGAACTGAGGACTTTTGCAGCTCAGAGAGCCAGTCTCGACTGAAAGGTGACCACGCTGCTCTGAGAAACCTCCACTCTGCTCTGCTTGGCTCAGACAGAACCTTTGCCGAACCAACCTCCTGGACCAGCAGCCCTTTGTCACTCCCCAGGACTATGATTGACTTTGGGACTGGTTCGTTACTCTATTTTACCTAATTAGTGTGTTACTCTGTGTGCTTTACTGTGTGTTGTATTGATGATTGATGCTTTACTGTGTGTTGTATTGATGATTGATGTTTGAGTAAAGAGCATACTAAAATGCATTTAAGATCATGCGTGCTCTGTTCTTCACTCATGCCACGGCTACTGTGGAGGCCTCAGTCAGGCCAGGTAGACCCTGGAGGTCTGAGAGTCTCTCGCAGGAAGAGACGGCAGCACAGACTGTTAACCCAGCAGTCGTTCATAACACCCTAGAAAAATAATTAAAGTCACAGAGCCCAATAAATTCTTAAACAGATTGTGGTTTTAATTAAAATCCTTCTGTCAAAGCTGCAGCTGCAACCCTCTCTTCCCAAACAGGCGTATTGGTGACAGCCCAAGCATCAGAATTTGGGTTGAAGTATCTGAGGCTAGAAATCTTTACAAATGTTAATGAAATTCTGATTGCTACCAATGCCATAGGTGGAGGGTGGGGAGTAAAGAGGCATTTGAGGGCGGGGCCAAGGCTGTTCCCCCTATGGGGAAGGCAGGACACAGGCATGTAGGGGCTTGTGCAGTGGAACATCTCATCCTACCTGGACCCAACTGGGTAAGGCAATAATGATGGCTAATTCTAGCTATTGTTGAAAAAAGTAATAGCTCTTTTCAGAGCACTATCTAAGTGCTAGGTTCTAGGAGCTTTGTGTGCATTGACTCATTTATTCCTCACAGCAACCCGATAAAATTAGTATTCTTACATATACCCTTATTTCTAAGGCACAGAGAGGTTAGCTAACTTGGCCAAGGTCACACAGCGGGTACATGCTGGAGTCTGATGCTAGAACCTTTCCACCTAACCACTATGTAGAGTGTGTATGAGGGGGAGGAAAGATAGGAGGTGGAAGTGGTTTATAAATAGGGACTAGCTTCCCAGAGGAGTGAATTTTCTGCTGGAAATTCGAAAAGCAGCATTTGAGAATGATGGGAACCCTGTGTGAATGTGTGTGTGTGTGTGTGTTGGGGGGGATTGGACTGCAGAAGCTGAAAGGTGGCAATCAGAGTGTTTAGTAGAGTCTGGCTAGAGAGCAGCTGTGGGGAGGGTCTTCTGAGCAGGCTGCCGTGGGCATATTTGATGCCCTCCTGGGCCCTGGTTTTCCTACTTTCAGATGCCCTCCCACAGCCATTAAACCACCCAGGTGCCACGTTAAATACAAGACACTTACCACTCTGAATGCAGCGATTGCACCTAAAACTTAATCAAACATCCGTTACTCCCAATTGTGCAGTTTTCCTTCCCCCTCCTAGAGCCAACAGATTTTACTTTTCAGATCTCGGACATTTTATAAGTCTCTGATCAAGTCTCCCAACAGGGCTCGAAGAGAAAAGGGAAGGTGTAGAGGAAGGTTCCCTCTCGAGAGGACTAAGCTCATTGGTTCATCGCGTATCAGAGGGTGACTATATTGTGCCCTGGGCACTAGAAACACAATGGGGTGCGAAGCGGGGGTTCTGCCTGTGGTAGGCAGGTGAGGAGGTTGCAGATTCTTGGGACACGGGCTTGGGAAGTAAAGCTTTGGCGCCTTGCTTAAGCATCCCCCACTTTGGAACACTGCGCCGTTGGTCTGCAGAGCCGGGGGCAGCGCAGGCTCCAGCCTCAGCCCACCTTGCCCGGTCCCCCCAGCCACTGCCCGGGGTCTCGGCGCCCGGCAGGCGGTATCCAGCAGGGGGCGCGCGCGAACCAGGCCTGTGCCCAAGAGGCTGAACAGAGCCAGCGGGGAGCTGGTGCCGGGATCTACTGGGTTTCGACCCGCCCCATCTGTTGGACCGTCGGCGTCCGCAACGTCGAAGTTAGAGGACATTCCGCAAAAATCTGTCCGGAGCCCCAATTCTCCGCTCCTGGGTCTGTCTAGGGTCCGGACCCCAGCTAGGTCAAAAAGCCTTAGCCCGGATTCTGCAGATTCCGAACCTGGGGACCCCGCGCTGGAGGCTTGGAACTTTGTATCCTTCCTCTCCCCACACCTATTTCCACCCATCTGATTAGGGGCCTATTTCTTTAACAATCAAAGTCGAGGGCGGCGGCGGGAATGGTGTCTTCGCTCTCGATTCCCCAGCCGCTCAGTAACTGTACCGTTATTAACATTATAGTCATTAGACCGCTCCTGAGCGGCTGGCGGCGGCGGGCGACATGCGCTCAATCTTCTAGCTGCGCTCGGAGGCTGAACCCGGAGTCGTGGCTCCCATCCCAGGCCTCAACGGACCTTACCCGGGGCGACTCAGGCTTCAGGCTTCAGAGGCAGGCACTGGGCTCTCCAGGGTCGAAGGCCGGGGTAAGGGTTGTCTTTCCCCCAGGGCACGCTCGGGGAACAAAAGCGCTCGCTGGAGAGTGGGCGGGAACCGCAGGGGCCCGCGGGAGCCAGCGTCCCCGCCGGGTGGCCATCGCGCCTTCAGCAGCGGCCCCGGCACCTGGAGCCCTGCCTCCCTGCCAAATTCCCCTGGCTTTTGCAGCCCCGGCAAGAAAGCAAGGAAAACGGGTCTTTCTTGGCCAGCTGATCCCGGGCGTTCCCGGGACGCTGGCGGGGCGGATCCCTGCGGTCCAGGAAGCGCTCCGCGGAGAGTGAGCGAGCCCATTCTCCCTTCCATTTTGCATCCTCTGTCTTACAGTCCCTTAGCCCTTCCAAGTTGTCCTCCGCCCGCCCGCCTCTCCATCCGCCTTGTAAAAAGAGCTAGAAGAGAGGTGAAAATTGGGTGGAGAATCTACAAGCCGTGCGCCTCCACGCCTGAGCCTTGGTCCCTGTCTCGGTGCCAGGCGCCCCGCCCCTGCCCCCGCCGGGTAAAGTGTCCAGGACCAGACTTCTTCCTCGCTGCTGGGCCCCTGTCTCTCCCAGGCCCTTCTTTCCTGGCCAAGGCTTTCTGAACCGCCCCCCTCTGGTTCCCCAAAGCGCGGACAACACTCTCAGGACGCCCCTCTTCCTCCGTAGACAAAGAGGTTTTGCCAGGTCGGAGGACCGCTCCACTCCCCGGCCCGGCCAGGCCCAAACTGCTGGGACTCACTGCCGAACTAGGGGCCTGCTCCATCTGTCCTACCGCAGGGTGAAGGTGCTCTCACTCATCCGCCGCTCTCCCCCTGGGTCGGCTGTGGGGACCACAGGCCCAAGTAGATGGAATGAAGTTCTGAGTACTGAATTCTGGGCTGAGCAAGATGCGCGGGTCCCAGCCGGCTCCGCGGTCTGTAGTGGCTGCAGGGGGAGGAGAGGAGAAGGGACTGCGGAGCGTGCGTGCGCCAGTCTGTTCATATTTAATTTACAAAGGATCCTCGGAACCCCGGTCGGTGGTCTCTTTAGATGCAGCGCTCCCCGCTGGTCTCTCTCCTCCACCTCCCCTGAAATGCTCAACACTCAAACCTGGAAATTGAGCTTCTCAGAGGCCCCAAGCCCTCGCCACCGCCAGAGTCAACCCCCCTCCACGGCCTGTGGTGAGGGCTGGGTGCCTAGGGCGCCCCCAAGAGCGTAGTGTCTACGAAAAGGACCGGGGTAGGCGGGGGCTTTGCGTGTGCCCGGGAGCCTGTACCCTTTTCCCGATTCTGACCAGCAACTCTGTCTCCAGGGCTGCAGTGAGCAGAGCAGAGAAACAGGAATCGAGTTTTAGCCAAATGCCTGAACATTCCCGCGCTTCCACCTCCTTGTCGCTAAAAGAAATGTCGGGGTCTCGCCAGAGACAGGGAGCGAGAGTAGGGAACAGCGAGTATTGGAGTCTGCTGAGGCCGGCTGTTGTGTGAGCGTGTGAGACAAGTGGGGCGGTGATGAGCGGCGCAGGACTGTGGGAAACCGTGTGTGGGTTTGGCGGTGTGTTTGCTTCTGAAGCTGTGAAGATATTGGCGGGGGGAATGGGAGGGAGAGAGGTGCTCGGGCCTTAAGTTCCCAGCCCACAGTGCTCAAGAGGAGCAGACGTTTTGTAACCATCCCTTTCCGTACCAATGTCAGCTAAAGCTCCGATGCCCCATTCGTCTCTAGCTAGCTAGACCTGCGGGTGAGGCGTTGGGTGCTCTCAGGTAGGCTTCCTGGGAGCGGAGGCTGACACCCACGCGCCCCGCTGGGCCAGTGCGCACAAGCTGGCGCGTTGGGCTGTGGGCTTCAGTACTAGTTTAGACACAAAAGATGAGACGTAAAGATTCGGGGCTTAAGAGACTGGACAGGGGCGGAGGTGGGCTGCAGAGAGGGCATCGCTTCCTCGTGCGCCCTGCAAGGCGATGCGTTCTCATCTTTGAGTTGAACAGGCCTAGAGCAGGGGAGACCTGGGCTTGTATCTGCCGAGATCCAGGCAAAAATGGCAGGGAGGGAGGGTGAGGCGCTCTGCTAACACTATCAATTATGCATCGTGTTGAACATGGCTTCGGGGAGGAGGCGGCTAGCAGGGGTGTAGGAGGGTGGGAGGGGTGCAGGAAGGAAGGGTCGGCGCTAGCGCGCAGCGGGTCCCACTCGAGGTCTCTCTGCTCCACAACCTGCAATTTGCAAAAAGAGTTTAAAGGCAAGGACCCCCTTCAGTCGTGCGCCTTGCCTTCCCCCAAATTTCTCAAAGATGGTTTGTCTCGTGTGTTGAGGGGCATAAAAGCGGTTCGCATTTAATTAGCAGCAAGCTCACCCGTCCTGGCGCGACCTGCTCTTGAGGGTGAGTGCGCGTGAATGTGTGTGCGTGCGAGAGGAAGAGAATGGTGAATGTCCCGGGTGAAGGTGTGCCTTTGAAAATGTGTGAACGTATTGAGAGCTCAACACATCGTCGCGATTATTACATGATGATGGATAATTCTAACATGTGAAAGTCGACTGTGTGAGGGGGTGAGGGTCTGTGCTAATGTGTTTGAACGTGGGGGGATCGGTGTAATAAGGGATAGTGGCAATGTCTGCAGATGTGTAAGTGTGGGGAATATGGGTTATGAGGGTGCGGTGAACTGGGATGAGCCGAGACAAGGGCGGTGGGCGAGGGGACCCCAATGTGTCTCCTCCGGGGGAAGAGCCTCTATGGCTTTAACAAATGTAGACGGATGCGAGAGGTGGGAGAGGCTGTGCGCGTCCCTGCCGAGCCGGGAGCGCGCGAGGACTCTTCAGTCTGCAGCCAGCGAGAGGTGGGGAAACAGACGCGAAAGGAAAAACTGAAGTGGGACCTCAGGGCCAGAGGAGTCCCCAAACTTACCCCTTTTCGGCCCCTCCTCCATCTTCCCTACAGTCTCAGCAACAGATGTGGGAAGCCCCCTTGGGCTGTCGTCCTGGCTCCGAGACATCGAGTCTGAAGAAGGGGCTGAAGCCCGAGGCAACACTTGGGGAGTCAGCGAGCAGCGGGTAAGCCGCGGGACCGCCACACAACCTCGATCCAGGTGGGGGTAGACCCCGCCTAGGGTGCTGGACCCGGCTACTGCGGTCCGGCCTAGACCGGGAAGAGAAGGGAGGGGCCCTCCCCCGGGAGCAAAGGCGGAGTAGGGGGCAAGGGTTCCCAAAGATGGGGGTGTGGGAGGGGCTCTGCCGAACCAGCCTGGAGCCGTAGGTGGGAGCAGGCATTATGTGTGTAAGTGCGTTTGTGTGGCTGAGCATAAGAAGGTTTTATTGGAGGGAGGGCCCTTGGGCAACGTAGAGCTGCAAAAAAGGGGCAGAATCTTGAACCTTCTCCTACTTCCTTAGCTAGTGGCAGCCCCCATGACCCATCAGCAGGGGACGCCTCTGCCCCTCCCCCCTCCCACCCCAGCCGCCTGGGCTCTGCGGGATGAGGAGGGATCTTTAGTGATGTTCCCCCAATGCTCCCGGTCCGTGCGTAGAGTAGGACCTCCTTCCTCAGATGGAAGACGGAGCAGTCCTGGTTCTCCTCTCATGGGAGCTGCAACCCAGAGCAGGCAGCTTCGGTCGTGGAGGGAGAGAGGCCAGCAAGTCTGCTTCTGTGGGTCCCATGGCTCTTGCCACCCGCCGCAAGTTCTCCACGTTGCTGATCTGCTGGAATTTCGGTCTCAGTAAAGGGCTGTGTGCACGCGCCAGTACACACTTGTGTCCTTGTGTGTGGGTCGATTAGCGTGAAGACTTGTGTGCTTGTATCTGTCAATTCCCACAATGAACAGGAAAAAGATTTGCACCGTGGTAAAGAACGCTGTACAAATGCTAGGTTCAGCTGAGAACAATGAAGTCTCAGGGTATATTGTGTCTGTATCTGGGTGCGTTTGTGTTTGTGTGTCTACGAAATGTGTTGTGAACCGCTAAACCCCTGCAGAAGTTGGCGGTTTGGTGGCGGTGCTTGTGCGTATTGGTATTGTTATGCGCCTGAATGGGCGTGTGTGCGAGTGCTGTGCATCGGACAAAGAGTTGGAAGGAGGACACCAGTCACGGACAAAAATACCCTTTCTGTGTACCCTTTTCACGAGATTAAACAAAGGCTTAGAAATACAGACAAGGGTCAGTGCAAAGCCCAGGGCAGACCAGCGAGCGGCCGAGCCTGTGCACAACGGCCAACGCCAGGGTGAGGGGGTAGATAGGGAAAAAAGAGCAAGGTAAGAGGCCGCTGGAAAAGGATGTTAGGGCCCTGAGAGGGGGCATGTATTGAATCCCGAGACTTTTATTGAGCTCTACCGGTGAGCAAGAGAGGCTCCTGGGCACAGAGAAGGTTACTGGAGCCCTGGGGCCTACTCTAGACTGGTTTGTGGAGGCAGAGCTTGATAGGGGAAGGAAATCGGGGCTCTGTGTCATATTCTCCCCTCTTCCACCTGCAGAATCCGCTATGGTGCCCCTGCCGGCAGTGTGGCTGGCCTGGACGCTGCTAGGAGTGGCGGGAGCTTGCCCCGAGCCGTGCGCCTGCGTGGACAAGTATGCGCACCAGTTCGCCGACTGCGCCTACAAGGAGCTGAGCGAGGTGCCTGAAGGATTGCCGGCCAACGTGACCACACTTAGTCTGTCGGCCAACAAGATCACCGTGCTGCGGCGTGGGGCCTTCGCCGACGTCACGCAGGTCACGTCGCTGTGGCTGGCGCACAATGAGGTGCGCACCGTGGAGCTGGGCTCGCTGGCCGTCCTGAGCCAACTCAAGAACCTCGACTTGAGCCACAACCTCATATCCAGCTTCCCATGGAGCGATCTGCGTAACCTGAGCGCGCTGCAGCTGCTCAAAATGAACCACAACCGCTTGGGCTCGCTGCCCCGGGACGCACTCGGTGCGTTGCCCGACTTGCGTTCCCTGCGTATCAACAACAACCGACTGCGTACACTGGCTCCCGGCACCTTCGACGCTCTAAGCGCGCTGTCACATCTGCAACTCTATCACAACCCCTTCCATTGCGGTTGCAGCCTTTTGTGGCTGCAGGCATGGGCCGCAAGCACCCGGGTCTCGCTACCGGAACCCGACTCCATTGCGTGCGCCACACCTCCCGCGCTGCAGGGAGTTCCAGTGCACCGCCTGCCCACCTTGTCCTGTGCACCACCCAGTGTGAGTCTAAGTGCGGAGCCGCCGCCGGAGGTGCCGGGTAGCCCGTTGCGCGCTGGCCTGGCGCTCTTGTTACATTGCGTCGCCGAAGGACACCCTACGCCCCGCCTGCAATGGCAACTTCAGATCCCGGGTGGCACTGTAGTCTTAGAGCCGCCCGTCCCAAGCGGGGAGGACGAGGATGGGCCGGAAGACGGGGAGGGGGAAGGAGATGGGGACTGGCCGACGCCGACGGAGGCCCCAAACCCGAATCCGACACCCGCTTGGCCCGCGCCCCCAGCCACTCCACGCTTCCTGGCACTCACAAACGGCTCCCTGTTGGTGCCCCTCCTGAGTGCCAAGGAAGCAGGCATCTACACGTGCCGTGCCCGCAACGAGCTGGGCGTCAACTCTACCTCAGTACGAGTGGCGGTGGCGGCTGCCGGGCCCCCAAAGCACGCTCCTGGCGCAGGGGGAGATACTGATGGGAAGGCCCCGACCTCTGAGCGCAAGTCCACAGCCAAAGGCCGGGGCAACAGCGTCCTACCCTCCAAGCCCGAGGGCAAAATCAAAGGCCTGGTCCAGGGTAGCATCCTTGGGGAGACAGAGGCGGGGCCGGAGGAGGAGGCAGGTGAGGGAGGGGAGGCGGAAGACCAGGTTTCTGCAGACCGGGTAGAGGAGCAGCGCTGTGGCCACGGGGACCCCTCACGGTATGTGTCCAACCACGCGTTCAACCAGAGCGCGGACCTGAAGCCACATGTCTTTGAGCTGGGCGTCATCGCTCTGGACGTAGCGGAGCGCGAGGCGCGGGTGCAGCTGACGCCGCTGGCGGCACGCTGGGGCCCTGGGCCTGGTGAGGCTGGGGGAGCCGGGAGGCCGGGGCGACGGCCCCTGCGCCTGCTCTATCTGTGCCCGGCGGGGGGCGGCTCAGCAGTGCAGTGGTCACGCGTGGAGGAGGGCGTCAACGCCTACTGGTTCCGCGGCCTGCGGCCTGGCACCAACTACTCCGTGTGTTTGGCGCTGGCAGGGGAGGCTTGCCACGTGCAAGTAGTGTTCGCCACCAAGAAGGAGTTGCCTTCGCTGCTGGTTATCGTAGGGGTAAGCGTGTTCCTCCTGGTGCTGGCCACCGTGCCTCTGCTGGGCGCCGCCTGCTGCCATCTGCTGGCCAAACACCCGGGAAAGCCCTACCGTCTGATCCTAAGGCCTCAGGCACCTGACCCCATGGAGAAGCGCATCGCCGCCGACTTCGATCCTCGTGCTTCCTACCTCGAGTCCGAGAAAAGCTACGCGGCAGGCGGCGAAGCCGGTGGCGAGGAGCCAGAGGAGGGTCCTGGCGAGGACCTTGACGAAGACGCGGAGCAGGTGGACCCTGGTGGGGACTTGCAAAGAGAGGAGAGCCTGGCGACGTGCTCGCTGGTGGAGTCCCAGTCCAAGGCCAACCAAGAGGAGTTCGAGGCGAGCTCCGAGTACAGTGATCGGCTGCCCCTGGGTGCCGAGGCGGTCAACATTGCCCAGGAGATTAACGGCAACTACAAGCAGACAGCCGGCTGAACCCCCAACCCACCGGCCCGCCCAGCCCGCCCATTCTCATCCTCCACCTTGGGTGCCTGGGAGTGCAAGCGTAGGACTGGCAGGATTTATGACCCCCTCACTTACTCCGCCCGCCCCCTACCACTCCCCAACCTTGACTCCTGGAGACTTCTTGTGGGGAGTGAGACGATTTCACCAGTCCTTCGCAACCCATGATCGTTATTGTCCTTGAGGACTGAATCCCCCCTCCAGCAAGCACAGTTCCCTGCTCCTCTCTCCTGTGTAAGACACCACCGCTGACCGTGATGCGAAATCCACGCTTCTCTATTCCCACGCAATTGTTACGTTCGAAATCCCCTCCGAAACCCGCCCCATCGTGGGCCCTGGAGCCAGAGGAAATGGGAGGAAACTTTGGAAACATCTGGCGGTAACGCTGTGGCTCGGGGGTCGGCCGGGGCCCCCCAACAGACCTCCCTCGCTTGGAGCTCTGTAGGGTCCCTCCTCGACCCCTACTCTGCCCTTTCTGGAGGGCATGTGTCAGAAGCCAGGGTTGGGTGACAACTCCCTAATTTTTAGTTTCACAGCCCCCTTGCGACTGGGAACCAAACCCTTCTACTCTCCCCCCCCCTCCACA